TTTTTGTATGGTTTCAAAGTTAAAGTGAATGCCCTTGAAAGTGGTTTTTTTTAAACGCAACACCATTTTTCCACGGATTGTATGTTAACAGCTGATGAGAATACCTGAAATATCTGAATTCAGAGTATCCTGTTGAAATATTGTTCCTTCTTACTATCTGAAATTTGTCAAGGAAACATCCTGCATAAAACAGGTGAATGTCAATTGGCCGAGCAGCGTACCGTTGGATAGGGGGGCAAAGATGAGGGCGTGCTCCGGTTTTATGTGAACGTCACTACAAGAATACAATACTACTAAATAGCCATGAGTAAAGCAGCCATCAAATGTATGTATTAATATTCTCAAGAGATGTATCAAACACAACACTGACCTACTGTACAACATCACGTAACACATTGAAACAATAGGCAAGTTGGATACCCGATCAAAATTGAAAACGATTTACATTATTGTTGTAAATTTTTCGATCATTTGTGGTCGTTGAACTAGAGATGTGTTATTTATCTGAACATGCTGTCACAGGCGTGTCTCGATAAAAACGAGAATATACAATTTATTTATTTATTTACAGCTGTTAACATAATCCGGTCTGGTAAGTTTTGTTTTCTGTTCTGCCCAGCTGGGTTGGACGTGGTACCAGGTAGAGAGCAGAAGTATGGGAATAGTTATAACATTTTCGAATAATAAAGTAAGCGACGCTGTGCATGTCCTACTGGACGATTCTCAGTTGCTTCACAAAATATCTCGCATGAGAATAAGGGCCATGCACGCTGCATCTGAGTCGTGTGTGTGTGTGTGTGTGTGTGTGACGAGGCGAATGATGAAGCCAGAAGAAGCGAAGTGGCAGCCAACAAGCGGATTGAGACGATGGATGGAAGGCGAAAGTACTGTCGTCTCAACAGTACCCCATATTCATGTAAATGTACTAAGAAGCCGCTAACACCCGCCCACCCCTGATTTAAGTGCGTGAAGTGGTATTACGCATCTAGAAGAGAGTCACGAAGACATTCAGAGTACTTTAGCCTAAAGGAGTTGTGAAAACTGATCTATATATGACACAGTTGTGACAAATCGTGGAATGTAGCAGCGTTCAAGAAACATAGATGATAGAATAACACATTGTACATAGCCTAACTTAGTACTGGTTCACACATGTGCATAAAGAGTGAAAAACAGCCGAGTTTTTCACTGTTTAACATTACTTCATGTGGACGTTCGGATGAACAAACCACCATTCCTCAAGGTACATGCCTCAGCATAAGCAGGGTTTCGCGAGAGACGATGGTACAGAGAAAACAAAACTAGGAGACCTGTGTGAATGGGAAATTGTCAAGCAGATAACTTCGGAGTGGCAGCCACTGTCATCTTCACGATAGTTGCAGGACGAAGCTCAAAGCTCAAAGTACGATGAGGTACAACTTTCCTCGTCATCGTAGTTGCCCTAAAGCAACACCGACAATGCGGAACGATAACCAAAAGGGCGGGTTTGCGATAAATCGGAATACTTGTAGCTCGGGTTGACTGTTCTAGTTTTCGATTACTGATGAGTAGACGGATTTGGGTATGATTCGATTTGGTTCATCGCAATTAGATTGCAAACGGCATGGGTAACCTATCAATCCGGAAACGCACCATACGCGGGTTTCGCCCAATTGGGGCTCGTCAGTGGTGCGCGTCCATCGGTCTCCTACTGGGATAGAACCCATGACCGCTAGAGGCTAACGCCAACTAGCCAGCAGCTTATCCCACTGAGCCATGTGGGACGACAGTCGACCATTACGAGTTGAAACCTAACTGCGATATAGCCCAATCCATCCTCCATTGTCGTGCAGGTTAATGCCCGTGCAGAGGACTGACGAGCCCCAATAGGGCGAAACGCGTGTTCTGGTTTCCGTTTGTACTCCGAGTTGAGGAATTGTGCAGCAGACATTTGGTCACCAGTTGAAAGGGCACCCACACTGATCAAATCCTAAATTTCAACAGCAATTATCCAAATTGTCACAAAATAAGCTGCATACGGATCCTATTTCGCAGGATTGAGTCACACTGCAATATTGAGGAAGAAAAGCGAGAGGAAGAGAAACATCTGTTTAAGTCCTTCATGCGCAATGGGTACCCGCGCGGTTTCAGCCGAAGACACTTGAAGCGCAGGGCCGAAAATACCACGTCTGAATTAACAACGAAGAAACGGATCGCTTTGCCTTATATCAAGAACGTATCAAAAATGATGGCCAGATTACTCAAACCCTATCATCTGATGGTTGCCTACATACCAACCGCCATACTTAAGGGGAGTTTGTCTAAACCGAAAGATAGATTAAAATTACATGAACGCAGTAATGCTGTTTACAGCATAGGATGTAAACAATGAGAGAAGTATGCGGCCCAAACAGGGAGGAAATTGGTTACAAGAATACGAGAGCACAAGCGAGTTAGCCGTAACCACTACGTATCATCTCTGGTCTCGGTACATGTTGATGAGAAGTTTGATTGTGACGAAACCGAAATTCTCGCGCGGGGAGAAACGAGAAAAAGCAGGGAATTCTTTGAAGCGTGGTTTACTACAGAACACTGTGCATAGACCTAGACCCAGTGTACCAACCATTGAGAAAGAAAGCAATTGGACGGGTCAGAAATCCTAACATAAGGCAGAAAGTAGCGGCCGCCGAACAACAACCCATCAAGGGTCATTGAGACGAAGCGAAGAGGCCAATTTCAAACGTCACTTGCCCATCGATCAAGTGCTGACGACGCACTCAACGAGCTATGCGCTAAGCAGTGAGGCACTGAGGATGTCACCTCGGCTAGTGACAAAACGTCTGCAGCACAATTCCCCAACTCGGAGAACAAACGAAAACCAGAACAAAAAGGCAGATCTTCAGATCGAATAATTTTCCTGGCCGTGTCGAACCAATGCGAGTCGCTCACGATGATGAGTGTGCCTTAGCATAGACAGTGGGGTGCTTCGTATTTCGTTGTTGATTGCACTGTGAAATACACAAACAGTGTAAATGTTAAAACACACAGAAAGCACTACAAAAACTGAATGATGTGCCCTGTGGCTCAGTGATGTGTATGAAATGACAGCAACTGCAACGTTGATCCTTCCTTTTTTACCAATGGTAGCAGAACACAAGAGTCAATGGGAGTTTTACAGGAAAACAGAAATTCTCTGCTAAACCGTTGAAAACGATTCATGGACTTTCAACAAGTGTCGCTTCGTCTCGGTTGCACCTGGTTGGCCTGTGTTAGTTAGTACAGCGTGAAAGCCGGTAAACAGCGCCGTCGAGGCAGTTCGCAGGTTCTGACCACCGAAGGCGCATGGCTTTCTATGCATCAAAACGACATACATTGCCACGTACGTTGGTATAGGGGGAAGTGATGTCATAATTGAATTGGGGAGTATCTAAGGAAAATTTTAAAAAGTTTCGATAATGATTGCTCGATAAAAGCGTGTACTTTCATCCTATATGTCAGATGCAGAGGAGTATAAAGCCGGAGAAGAGGTATTACAGCAATTGAGAGCGAAAAACTCAAGACTCGCTCCGTCGAATGTGTTCATGAGATTTTCAGCTTGTTTACTGCGGTACAGGTAGCTTCAGAAGTTCGCTATTTAATTTAAGGCATTCCAGCCAAGTGTGGACCGCGGGTTTTATCCTAGCAACAATGAAAAGGACCTCCACTTCCGGTTCAGAGAAAGTGACCGAAATCAATGGGGTTTGCTACGCAATCATACTTGCTACCGAAGTCTAAAGTGGCGGCAGAGAGTGGGTGCCACCCAGCCGCTGTGACAAACGTTGACGGAAGAAATCGATCTTAGGGTACCGAACGTGCCAGCTGCACTTTCTACGTGCCGGGTTCCCCGATCAGTTGGGTAGCGTGGGAGAAATGCGAAGACAACGCACGAGATCGGTTTGATGGTGGCTCGAGTGGGCAAGATCGAGGTGGGACCAATGGGTGGAAAGCCAATGAGACGCCGGTCATGTGAACTAACCGAAGACGCGCGATAGACAAGGAGGACACGGTAGAGCTCATTCGGTGTAGCGTAAGTGATGGTGGTATGATCGAGGACAAACGCGAACCGCGCACACGCTTGCCTTTGAACCTATTCTGGTGACAGGGCGAACAATGGCGGCTGGCCAAATGAATGAGCGAGTGGATAGAAAGAGAACCAGGTGTCGCCGACACGTGAGCTGAACTGGATTGCGCAGTTCAGGTGAAAAACGGTAAAATAACGCATGAGAGAGAGAGTGAGACAAACTAAACATGGACCCAGGAAGACAGGCGCGGTATGCATAGATCACAGTGGAAGAGGGACGTGTACGGTCAATAAACATAGGCAGATGATACGGGCGGCAAGTAAGAAGCTGCCTCAGTGGGGCAACGTTCCGAAGTTCTGCACATCGTGAAGAATTTTATGGCTCATAGAGAAATGCTGATGGTTCGCCAATCAGATTTCGTTTTGACACTCGGAGGGCTACTCGATAATCAAGCTTTTTGGAAGCCAGATCTACCTAGCGAGCATTGAACTGCAGAGTTATCCGAGTTGTTGCCTGTATCGACTGCCGTTGTGGGTGGGTGGGGGATGAACTGCGTCTCCTCCAGGCCGCGGCACTATCGGTAGTGCCACAACCAGACTGCACCCAGTAACTGTGGTTCAAGTGTATCGACGTATGTTCGCTGTTGTGAGCGCCAAACTGGGCCGTGAGAAATTGCAGTCTACTGGTGGGCTGTGTTTAGTTGTGACAAGTGTTACTTACTGTGGGGACCACATTCTCGGCACGGAGTATCCTGGATTCTCACGGCTGTCTTGCCAAGTATGTGATGGACACACAAGGGTGACCAAGCGACTGAGGAACATATCAAGTGAAAAGTTAGAGAGTAGAGTAGAGAATGTCAGAAACATCAAACCATTCGCAGCATACACAGAAAGTCAACGGTGATCATGTGTAGCGGATTCAGATCGAAAAGATCGATGTGAAAACAGGGTTGAAACGTACTCGTTGGTGCTGTCTCCTCTGATGCTCTAGAAGATCGCGGAGATGGCCAAGTTGCATTGGAACGCAGGTTTCCAACACCTAAATAAATAAATAAATTTGGATATTTACCGACAGACGGTACACGGCTCCATAAGTGGAGGCGATCATTTGTATAGTGAATACGTTTCATAATAGTAAAGAAAAGTTTATTAATAGGATTTCGGATCATGATTTTTTGTTCCTTGGGTCCCAGACCCGTGCATCTCATATGTAAAATTTACGGATGTTTGTATCATCAGGAGTAGATAATAAAAGGGAGGCACTACTAGTGTTATAGCGGAGGTAAGAATACTCCACCACTTCCCGTGGTTTTGTGAGTTTTATTCCCCTCACCCCTATTCACCCCGTCCTCTTTTACGGTTCCCCACATACGTTTCTATTACTTCACCTTTGTGACTAGATTGGGTTGACACTGAATCTTATGCTTAATGGTTTTTCCCTTCCTCTGTACATTTCGCTCGTTCGTGAGACATCGTATCGATCCTTCGCCCCGGGAATGACTAGCTTTGATTGATCGATTGTCAGCCTTTCTGCATAGCCTGTGTATATGCCCTAATTTGAATCGTGTGAATGAGTTGCACACACAGACGTTTGGTGGCCGGTTTGGCGTGCGGCGTGAACAGTATTTTCTACCCGGTCGTTGGTGCTCTCACTATGGTTAGTGGGGAAAGCAGTCGTGGGGCTCCGACACAACAACTAGGCTGCAAAGACACAGGATTTGGTATTGTATGTAATGACATGGAGTGGGTAAGCTAGTTGTGAGCGAATATCTGCTCATATGTTTTTCATACCAGCTACTGTCAATGTTTCCAGAGTTTGCTGTGAGTCAAATATATCCAACACATTTGGTATAGTGAGGAACGTCTGAAGGAACTTTCGAAACGTGACATGGCTTGTACTCATGCGTATCTGTAGGGGTAGTTTGTTCCACAGATCAGTGTATCTCACTAAGAAGAAATTCGATCGAGTTCTATGACTTTCATGCTTTGTGCGTACCAAATAGCCGCCATTACGTGTGGGGTAGACTTCAGTCTTCCGTAGTTCAAGTGCGGTGCTGTCTGCGTAAATCCGTTGGTTTATAATGTTGTAGAACAGAACGTTGTTCTTTAAGCGTCTCAGCCAAAGAGGATCCAGTTGGAGTTTTCGACAGCGATCATAATAAGTCAGGTTTGAACAGCGCCCCATGACCAGCTTGGTACATGATCGTTGGACATTTTCCAGAGCCGTTCTGTCTTTCTTAATTGGCTGTGAACGATAGTACAATATTCCAGAGTCGGTCGTACTATTGTCTTGAATGACTCAAGTCGTGCTTCAGGTAGGGAGAAGGTTCTGGTGATATATCCGCATAACTGCCTTGCTTTCGCAACCTGATAAAGTACATGTTCGAAGAAATTGAAAGAGTTGGAGTACCTAATTCCTAAGTCCCGAACTGAGTCAGACGTTGGGATCACGTTTCCGGCAAGTATGATGTAGCCTTCTGGGATGCGGCATCTGTACCCAAGTACTTGGGATTTCACTGCGGAGAACTTCATTAATAAACGCTCACTAGCTATATTTAGTGCGGTTAGGTCTTCACAGATGTTTCCCAAATATATATATAGTTGGCCTGGATGAAATGAGTAAACCAGGTTGACGACATTTGCAGAAATGGGTGTCCATGTTTTGTCGGATCACATAGGTTGTCTAGGTAGGTTAGGAAAAGTAGTGGTCCGAGCACACTTCCCTGGAAGACACCGCTGGTTATTTGTTTCGGTGTAGAATATTGCTGGCCGATTTTAACTACTTGAGTTCGACCGTTTAGATATGAGTCGAACCAGTTAAGCAGAGGATTTCCAATCCCATATGACTCTAGAGCAGACAGCAGTGGCTTGTGCGGCAAGCGGTCGAACGCCTTTCGCATGTCCAACAGAATTATAATAATTGCCATTCCTCTGTCAATCATAGTTGTGACGTGATCGAGAAATTGTAGCTGGCATGTAACGCAGGAGCGTTTTGAGAGAAAGCCATGCTGTGAGGGGTTGATCAGATCCAGTCTTGTAAGATATTGGACGATGTTCTTCTTGACTATTCGCTCTAGGGCTTTGGAAGCAGCAGAGGTGTGATTTATTGGGCGGTAGCTTGACATTTGATTTCTCGGTCTACTCTTGTGCTTAGGCATTATAATGGATTGCTTCCATTGAGCTGGAAAGCAGTCGGTAGTGAGTGAAAGTGTGAAAATGTTTAATAACAATAGAGCGAGGTTTTTCCTCCGAGTTTTATAACAGTTGGGGAAATGCCATCTGGACCTGGATGAGTTGATGGTTTTATGGCTGCGATGGCACTCTGCACCTCTTTCAACGTCACAAGGATATTGCGGTATAGCTCAGTCGTTCTTTTTGGAAGTGGAGGATGAAACGGCTGAGTGTTGGGGACAAAGCGGGAGGCAAAATTAGAGTTCATGGCCTCGCATATACAGGAGATGTCACGTGTTATTGAACCATCGTCTAGAGCCAACGTTTCAATTTCCTGAAGTGGCTTAGGGTTTCTTCTTTTGAGTAGTTGCATCAATGCACGTACTTTCTCAGGATTTCTGAGTACCCGGCTTTCTTCTTTGGTTTTGACCGTTAGGGTTAGACGTAAATCTAGTAAATTATCGTGTATTTGTAGCAATGTTGCGAAGCTGTTGTTCCTGCTGTATATCGATTTGAGCTTCTTTAGTTTTATTTTGGCTTTGGACAGAAGCTTGAGTTCACCCCTATGTTCATGGGTATTTCTCCTTACAGTAGGTGCTAGTAGATCCACAACAAGGACAATATTGTTCATAAACTCATTTGTAGCCACAGTAGGGTTGTGAGTTAGGAATGACTTATTCCAATTCATGGTACTGATAAGTTCGTTAAATGAGTTCCAGTCCACATGATGGAGGTTGCGAATGGGTTTTAGCATTTTACTTGGTCGTTTAGTTGAATCTATAGTCATATCACAACGCACCATGTTGTGATCACAGCCAGGCAGTGGATTTTCAATTAACGGATAAGCGTAAGCGATTCCCATCGTGAATACAAGCTCTAAGGTAGTGGCACCTTTGGCCGGCTCTCTAACATGCTGGGTCCAGCCATTGAGATGAATACATGAGATGATTTCCTCAATCTCCGCAGTGTTTCTGAGTGTAGGCAGCATGTGGTAGGTTGAAATCTCCACACATAATTTTGGATTTGTATGTGGTGCTGGCAGCAGCATTGATCATATCGATTAGGTTTTGGGTTTGTTGTGATGAAAGCAATTCACCAGAGGGAAGAAAATACAATCACATGCAATGGTGTTCAAACACTGGATCGAAAAAATACAGGATAACAGTGGTAGACTGGATCTGCCCAAGGATGGGAGGAAAATTGGATCACACACACGCACACACACACACACACACAAACGTTCCCACATTGGTAACTGGGCTAAGGAAAAGGTGACACATAGCGCCAGTAAAAGTAAAACTAGACACAAGCCACATATCCGGTGGCTCAATCAGATGGCCTTGTGAGGGACAGCTACATAGTGTAATCCATCGATAGAAGAAAAGTGAACACCCTGGAACAGCGGCAAAAAGTTTTGTTGACAGGATGGCGGTTGCAGATACCATGGCAGTCAACTAGTCTTACAGTACCATGGCGATGACTAGTGAAACCTCATACTCAGTGCCTCGGTAAATTATCCAAGCAAGATAGTAGTAACCGGGTATACTTCATACGTGTTTTGAAATGAAAACATTGAGCTTAATCAAGTATGTATCACTATTGCAACAGAGCGATACAACGATTCGGTAACAGTTTGTCTGCGATCCGTTTGTCCTCTAAGGTAAATCACGTGAACGGCGTTTCATCATATGTGGTTTTGGTAACAAAACAGCTTCAGTTTAACTAAGCTGGGTGGAAGGATAAAAGCGTCTATATTCAAGGGTAAAGGTCTAAAATCAACAGGGAGAACCAACAGCGGAAGGGGAAGAGATAAAATATACGGAAGCAAAGGAAAACTTTTAGATAGTCGACGATGTAATAGCTACAGAAGTAAGAAAATTACAAGGGGTCACCTGATCCCGATTGCGAAAATTCAGACTGAATCTACAACTAATGAATTTGTCGATCCTGAGGTCATTAGCTAGGAAAGCAACGCGCACAGACACAATGCACCAAAATCAGGTGGTCGTTCCAAGTCTCTCGTCTGCTATTCTCCTCTTTCCCTCATGGCTTGATATTCCGGTGTCATTGTCTGTGTTCCATTACATTGAACGCGTCGCTCACCCTATTAAAATCAGAAAAAGTAAGGAGCAATTCAAGTAAATCTTAAGACTAACTGACCGTGCATATGTCAGGAGGTCCGATATGGCGGGACCACACCCTGCAGTATAGCAAAGGCTCGCACCTCTAATGCCGCACATTGCACGCCTCTGCAAAACCGGAGCAGTTCTCTCAGTTTTCGGACATCCAATCGACAAAGTGTGTCTGACCGCAAATGCGCACATGAGCGCACCTTCGCTTGGCGCACGCATAATTGCATGTGTAACCATCAATTTCGCTCTTCCCTCTGGATGTGACAGGTGCGATGGTGGGTAAGCCGGCAGCGACATACGCTGTTTCAAGTTGGCTTCTTCATTAGACAGTATAGATCGATGAGCGCGTTAAAAGTAATGATGGAATCACACGCAACGATGCACACACACAGTGATACACAAATACGTATGCACTGCACGTGCGACGGAGGTAATGCATAGGCGACCAGCAGACTATGCAACACTCCTTCCCCTGTGGTTCCAACTATACAGCCTGAAAGCCGTCGGGCGGTTGGCAGGGCCGAAGACGACCAGATGTAAATACACCAGTAAGCATTTCTGTTAAGACTGTGCCGAAGTGGGTTCAGCGTAGTTGCATAGATTTATTACCCCCTCAACATCCGCGCTTGAGTAGGCTGTTGGCCTCCTCGATGGGCAAGCACCTACTGGCATCGGATCACCGGGCGGAGCTCCGCTCGGTGTTCAAAGTGATGCTACGTCACCATAATCCCCGCTTCCTACGGTTTGAAGAGGCTACCGCGATAAGCCGGATGAAGCCAGTCAAGTGAGCTCAGAACAATTATCCGTCATCTTAATTCTGCCCTGGACGTAGAGGCTGAACTGGTGTCGTTCACACTGCAACTGGGGTGAGAAGCGAGGAAAAGGGGAGGGGATAAGTTGTTATAAAATGCGGTCGCGAATGTCCATGTGGTACTCTCAAGGAGCCCAAGAAGATTTAAAACCAGCATCCACGGTACCAGAATTAGTATGGAAATCCAGCGAGCACGATTAAGCACAGACAAGTTTCGTTAAGTCCTTAACATGTCGGATGTTATGGGGTCGCCTGAGTTGCCGTGTGATGTAGCAAACGAAAGAAACCTCTCAGTGTCCCGAACAGCTTGTGGTGGCTGTGTACAACACCAGTCAATGCGGTTAACTCATCAGAACAGTGACGTTCTTTTGATGGAGCCATCGAAAAAAAGAGTCGTCGATTTTTTCCGAACTATTGTAAGGAGTTCATATTGAATTAAATCAGTAACCAATTTAACATGGAAAGCTGTGTGATATTTAGAGTGTATCATTGAGTACAGCCGAGAAAATGAGAGATGAATGAAAACCAGGCAGCATGTTGGGAAAGAATAAAAGCACGCAGTAGACAAGCAAGGAAAAGTACACAACAGGCAAATGTATGAAATATTCCCACCTCACGAACTCTGCTCAACATGGTTGCATGAGTAGAGCTTGGGGACGCACGGGTTTTTGTCGCTTCAGGCAATGGACTGGGCGGAACTGCTGAGGACTGTACGCTCGGTGGTCTGGTGGAGCCGGCCGGAGGACTGTCGGACGGAAGCGAGGATGCGGCCGACCCAAGACGGAACATATGACCGGGGATGCGACTGAGTCGTAAGGAGAACTGATGATGCAGACTGCTCGCCGGAGAATGTTGAGCAGTGACAACGGCGGTGTTAGCGGAGGTGGTGTTCCGAGGTGAAGTGGGCGAGGTCTGCTGCACTGGGCCAGAGAATGAGAGGTCCGAGGACGGTGCGCCTGGAATACGACCCCACAGGGGCTCCGACGTAATGCCACCGAAACCAGCCGCTTCGCTGTCCACGTACTGAGCCCAAGCCACGAGACATGGCGATTCCAATACATCAGCCCAGTCTGTCAGAGAGGGCACAGAGAGTCCACTGACAAGCGGTGTGTCTGGTACCAGGGTGGCAATAATCTGCAAGCGAATAAGGAAGCCGTAATCAAACGGAGGTGTAAGCAAGGACGTAGAGCAATTCAGGTAGCGGATGGTTTGTTCGGAGGCCAGTAAGGTTCGAAGGTGCATTCACGCGGAGTGCTGATACCGGTTTGTGATTAGGTCGTTGTAAAAAAAAACCACAATGCAACAATCCTATGGGGGACACACGGCTATGCAAGATGCATATTCAAAGTGATATTCGACAGAATTCCGTCAAAAAGGAGAAAATCGCCAGTAAAGTACGGCTTGAATGGACCTATTTTCAACACACACACATATACATCATACATTGTAGATAGCTTATATTGCCTCTAGCTGTATCCGTTAGGAGGATGCTTCCTCCTTGATATGTACTTGTATGATAAACGCTAGTTACCAGATCCCCTTTTTCTATCGTCCGTTTCGTGACATTTGTTTAAACACGTCTTTGATTTGATTAGAAGGCATAAGTCGTTCGTAATAGATGCTATCTCAGGGGCAAATTTACGTCAATGCTGTTTTCTCGGACATGCATGATTGGTCCTAACGTGTAACGTTGCTCATTCGCCTGTGTCATTCAGAGTCTGCTTTGTTAGAAGTAGGACGTAGCGAACAAGTTTGTTTCCAGTGGATCATCATCACGCTGGTACAACAACAACTATGCAGGTCCAAAATGAACAGGCGTCAATAAATCAAATATCACATCAATAAGGCTATGTGATTAGCCTGACCTGTGTGGAGTCGGGGGGAGTGGTTTGATATGTCTGCTTACTTGTGTTAGTCTTGGGTCAAGGTAGGTAGAGCGTCTGCACAAAATTCTTCTGTGCACACAACTCCGAGTTATGGAGGTGAATTGAGATTGTCTTTGATGTCGACAGCAGACGGCATCTGACAGCTCTCGTGTGGCGTACTGGCACACAGTAGATCGGTTGGAATGAATCTTTTGCGTTGATTTTGTGCTTGGTATCCACTAAGTGTGACAATACTGCGCTCGTCATATTCTTCCTCACACCACTGGACAGCCAAGCGGGACAATGCTCTCGAGCTCTTACGGACAGTCGCCTGGTCGATTTTCCAATATACCTTGCTCGAAACGAGCAAGAGAAATTGTACACACAGAAGGAAGATTGCGACCGCGGTACTTTGAGCCGCTGGCGGACAATTGGTGTTCAGATGAAGCTTACACGTAAGTCGGCCGCAAAGTAGGTTTTGGCAGTGGCTAGGATAAGCCTTCGGATGGTTCGCTGCGCTATCGCGTCACCCTTAATCGGGAGTGATAAGTATACTGGGCGCTTCTCTACGGAAGCAGGTTTCATCTTCGGTACTTGCGGCTCCACAGGTCGGGCTAATCACATAGCCTTATTGATGAGATATTTGATTTATTGACGCCTGTAATTCACGTGATCATATTAGACCTACATTGTTGTTGTTGTTGTTGTTGTTTTTTGTTGTTGTTGTACTAGTCTGATGATGAACCACTAAAAACAAGCCTGTTCGCTACGTCTTACTTCTAATGTTTCCTCGGGTTAGTATTTCACAACTGAAACAGTCTGTTTTGTTGTTGGTTTGATACAGTGTGTTTTAGTAACTTTGCTCGGAACAATATTTGTATCTTACATACACGAAGCCGTATCCTCACGTACACAATGCAGTCCGGGCTCGCATTTCGTGTTCGCATTGCGGTCGTGGAATCCGAGCGGTTGGAGATGATATAACAGTATCCAATTGGGCATTAAGAAATCATAGCTAGTTGTTGCTTCAGTGCCAACATAATAACATGAAAACATAAAACGATAGGTAGGGTGAGGTCGTAACAATTCAGTACAGGGTAGGGGGCAGGCGTGACACCCCTACGGCCAGGGCAGCCATAGGCTTACGAACAACTGTTTCTACACACAGAGTGCAGGTTTGATACGGCTGATGGCGACTGCCGCTGTGAAACGTACCAAACGGGCGTTAGCATGTCTTAACACGAGTATAAACACTTTGGCCGGATCAAATGGATGACAAGTGGCAAGTAAATGCAAACTATGGATGAAGGTGGTATGAGCGACCGATGATTGGGTGATGTGACGGTGCAACCATTTGGGTACATAGCCCCTTATACTGCAGTTCAAGGCTCCGTTGGTACGGCAGACTATTCCACACCGTCTAAATGACGCTTTCGAGCTCACCGAGGCTCTCGATGAAGTTAACTTATCCGGTAAAATCATGACTTCATTGGATGTAATAACACTTTTCACCAATATTCCGCTACAAGAAACAATTGATTATGTGTGTGATTTGGCAGAGTGCACCGATTTAACTCTTCTAATACTAGTCGAATTAATGAAGGACAGCCTATTACTATGTACTGAGAACATAGATTTCTATTCCCAAAACATTTTTTATCGCAAGCGGTGGCAATTGTTAGTCGGTTAAGCCCAGTGTTAGCAGATATTTTCATGTCGATAATTGAAATGAAGTTGCGTGCAGAAAGAGCTCTCCTTTCCTACTACAAGCGGTATGTAGATGATATTTTAGTGCTTAGCTCATCAGTAGAGCACATCGCGCATCTGGCTTATCGCTTGAATAAGGTGCATACGAATCTGAAAGCAACCAGCGAAACAGAGAAAAGCAAGTGCGTCAAATATCTGGAGGTGTTGATTTGGCGAAGAGCACATGGGCCATCAAAAGAGAGGTTTACCGGAAGCTAACTTGGTCAGGGCAGTCGCCGCACTTTATCGGCTTCGCCCAATTTGGTACAAGCGAACCTTAGTGAAGACGCTATTCAATTGTGCAAGAAAAATAAGCACCACCGACAGTTTAGATTATGAGATAAACTCCCTCAAGGATAGCTGTTGAAAAAAGAATATCCAAAAAGATTCGTCGACAGATATAGGCCAGGGTGCTGTTGAGCCAGCTCTTGTTGGAGCCACCTCGGAACGTGCTCCTTCATCTGGGTACTCAAGATCCTATTGGTTCTGTCTATGTAACTATCACCGCAGTTACACATGAATTGGTACACACAATGGGAGTTCCGTTCAGTGGAGGCAGCGGTAAGTTATGGGTTTGGTCGGTGGTGTTTACTTTGGCAGCTCGGAAGGTACTCCGCGTGAACGGGATAAGTCGTCTGCTAGTTCTTATTGTGGCAATGTTATCCTTAATGGGAAGTTCTAAGAATATGTTCTTTTTAGCCACGATGAGTGACACTGCCAGACCAAGGACTACTAGACGACTAATCGCGGTCACGCAGAGCACCTTCCGAGCTGCCAAAGTAAACATCACCGACCAAAGCCACAACTTGCCGCTGACTCCACTGAAGGGAACTCAGCTTATTGGAGCCAACTCCCATTGTGTGTACCAATTCATGTGTAACTGCGGTGATAGTTACATAGGCAGAACCAATAGGATCTTGAGTACCCAGATGAAGGAGCACGTTCCGAGGTGGCTCCAACAAGAGCCAGCTCAACAGACATGCCCAGCTGAGGTTGCGCATTCACACAGGCCACCAGCATCTTCGATCGGCAGGCCTTTATTGATCTCAGGTAACCGGATAGAGGTCGGCACCTGGTTCAAAGTTATGCTGCGGCATACCAATTCTTGTCTCCTCCGATTCGCTGTGGCTCTTGCGATAAACCGGATCAAATCGGAGCTTTGCATTCAAAAGCAACTATCGGTCAGCCTCAGGTTGCCTGGGACATAAGACATGATTCTTATATTTTCCTTTCGTTGGTTTGCATTTTTGCATCACTTGAGTTGTATTTCACTTCCCGGCTTCGTTTTCGGCAATGAGGGGACCATGGCATTGCCGGTGGTGAAGACACGGTGATGTGGCGACAGTGGTGGAGACGATGCCGGCAGTCATCATCGCTGACAATTAAATGGTTGGGAGTAACAACCTGCGACCTGTTAGTCTGATCTCCTAAATGATTTTTGGCTTGTGTGGATTAGCGAAGTCCCTGGGATGCATACACGTGCATAATGGACGAGGAAGCAGGCACTTTCCAGGTGCAGAATAACACCAGGATACAGGCTATATCCACCAGTATACGTCTCACTGTGGCATGCGCGGAAGCACATGGTTTCTGAACATGCCAAAAGTATGTTACCGTGAGTTGTTGTACATGGACCAAATCATTTTATGAAGACAATAAAGGAACTGAAAAGAGTATCGCATCTTGCAATTGCTGGATAACAAGATGTCATCGTAAGTAATAGTTAGATCAAATCATATGGTGAACAAACCTGCTTCTTGGCCAGGTAGCATTCGGTCCACAGTTGCAACGCCGCTTCCGCAATGAGATCGAAGCTACTGGGGGCGGTCGGAGTCGGCGAATTGGCGGATTCGACCGGTGGAACTCTGGTCACATCCGGGAGCATAGTCACAGGCGTTTCTGCACTCATTTCCAGTTCGTCCTCACAGAATGTAGTTCGATAATAATTCACTAGAGGACTTGTTGCTGATTTGGTGTCAACTGACTCGACGGTGTCCGAGTCGGAGTGGTTTCGTATTAGACACTGTGACATCTGGGGACGGTTGATCGCAGGTTTTGCGGGATCACAAGATGAGCCACCAATTGGGCTTGCAACAGTGAAGCGATCGGTGCGAACCAATTGCATGAGAAGATGGATTAGACAAGCGGGAAAATCCGGATCGGCGTTGTCGGGGCAGAGCAGTATGGAAGTAGAGGCTGGATCATCGAAATGTAACTCTTGGGAGGACGAGCTGAGTGTGGCCACGCGGCTGTCATGAATAAGCTTGAACAAACGAAGTGTTCGCGATTGATCTGACTGCGTAAGTATAGGACGTGAGAACTGATACAGCACAGTGCGGCTCAGGCTGCGATACAGCGAACACAGACCAAATCGAGGATCCACTTCCACGTTGGATGTGCAAACGCGCTCGGGCCAGCGCTCGATGAGGTGAAGCAGGAAGGCAACCAGTTCCAAGAGAACACCGTTAAAGTAACCCTGAGGGTAGAAGCAATGAGAAATAGGAGGTTCATTAGGAGTGGCGTTGATAGGGAAAGGCGAACACAGACAATTTCATCGCAAGTTAGCTTGGGGTTACCGCGTTTGGTTCTATGAAAGTGGATCCGGCAGCGGAAGAGTATCACAACACCAACCTACGCAAAAGGGAGGAAGGTAGCGTTCCACTGGAGAAATTACTCCATCCGGTGCGAAAAGTTGTTGTCACTTACCGTAAGCGAAGAAACAGTTGCAGTTGGAAAAATTTATCTCATAAGAATGCAGACGATGGTATGGGAAGTGGCGTTGTGTTTCGGGGGCTGATTATGTCCAATGGGCGACACGAACGTTGTGCATGGCAGCAGAAAATTGGACTTGCCATATCGCAGTCGATAGTTTGGTAACGTAGTTCGCCGCCACTGGATCCATGGTCACAGATTCTAATTCCGATGGATTCGAAGATGCGCGCACCTAGAGAATCGTTTGCTGATGAAGCGCTAATCTGGACATGTTGTGAATCTCTGAATCATCGGCGTGCTTCACTACTATCTATTTATAAGTAGTACATATTTACTTAAGATCTGCAACCACGATAGTCGGACACTGCTACACAGATTCATTGAACTAACTGACGAAACGCCTATTTTCCATTCCCGCATTTCTTCTTATAACTGTATAGTTATTGACACCAATTTGTACAGCACAAATATCTGGATGATTTGTGTTAACGCGTGACATTACGCAATTGAACGAGCAAATACTGTTTGAACTACTTATGTACCTAATTGCGAGCCTGCTCTCAAATTGGTAAGTTAAATGGTTCCATTTTCCTTTAACATCGCTAATGCATAAGCACGATTGTTTCAGTAAAATTTGTTTTGCTCACAACCTCAAATTCTTACAGTACGTTTAGGTAAGTATTGCCGGCTCACTGGTACATAGCGATTTCTGCAGTAGCACGTGATGTACAACAAATGGCTGAGGTTGTTCCTAACGAACATTGGGACAGATAGAGTCGATACCATGAACTGCACGCTACACACTAGCTAGGAGACCACACAGAATACGAACAGGTGTTAGAGAGGGAAGGCATATAGCGTTGTCCTCCAATGAAACGCCGTCAGATCATAAAGTGACCCAGAACAATGAGAACAATGATTTATCACGAGTAAAAAGGCATGTGCTTGACAAGTCCCATAGGATGGTCAAAGTAAAAAATAAAATTTAAAGGAGCATCGAATAAGGAAATCGTTATTTCAAGCGTCCACCGAGTTAAATTCACTACTGCATAACGACAGGTTGAAGTGGGAATGGGATGTGCACACACAAAATAGTATAGAGAGCTGTTATAGTTCAGTAAATGCGTGAGAAAGAAAAACGGAAACGACAACGCTCACTCATGTGTTGCTTCATTTGACAGATGTGGTAAGTTAATCCAGTTTAGATACATCCAGGCTAATCACATATACACTTCTGCAAGTATCCTCATTGCCACGTTGCGGAGAGGGCCGTTAAGCACATGGTTAGATTTGCATTATTTCGTCCTCCAAGTGCAAGGGACTATATCAAGTAATGCAAGTTGAAAAGCATTTCATCTTGGCCTTTTTTGTATAGCGTTAATGTAAGGGCAAGGATAACGTGAGTCGGAAGGGCATTCCAGGTACGGAACAACCGGAGAAAACATCGCGTGGACAATCAAGCTTGAGCTGATGACCTCTCAGGTTGGCATTTTGGCCCAGCTGCAAGAGATTGCGACATGGGTGAGTTGGGATCGTCAGTATTAGGTAAACCATGATTAGGTCTCCTCGCTGGCGGCGATATTTACAACTGTACAAGCTCAGAGATTGTAGTCTGCGTTGGTAGGAGAGATGAAACAATCCTCTAACGAGTTTGGTTGCTCTATGTAGTGGAGCTTCAAGTGCATCGACGTCGCGCCTGCGCCAGGGACGCCAGGCCTGGATCGTAGATTCACCGTGTGGCCTCACGTAGGCATTCAGCATATGCGGATTGATGGTTCAAAGTTCCCGAAAGCCCACCGTAAGAGTCCAAGATGTTGACTGGCTCTTTTTTATGCCTTTTCAGCCTGTCTGGAGCAACTAAAGTCGTCCAGCACGATCACTCCAAGGTCGTTTCCTTGGGAAGCACGTTGTAACTGCTGATCCCCAAATCGGTATTCATAGATAAACTGATGGAGTATGCTTACGACTTTGCAATTGGTCACGTTGAACTGGAGCCGGTTACCGGATGACCATGAGTAAGCCCTGTCGAGATCGCTGTACAATGCCATGTGATCATCCGACGTCCTGATATCATGCCAAATTTTGGCATCATTTGCAGATAGTGAGAAATTCGACTGCAGTACACTGGCAAGATCCTTAATGAGTGTTAGGAATAAACGTGGCCCCAGTACCGATTCTTGGGGCACACCACACTGGACGTCAATTGGGTCGGAAATGGAACTGCGAAGCCTCTCAGCTGACGTTGAACGAGGAAGTTGCCAATCCATCCGAGTATAGAGTCACCGATTCCATAGCTTCGTAGCTTGTGAAGGAGAATGCGGTGGTCCAAACGATCGAACGCATTCGAGAAGTCCAGGTAGACAACGTCGACTCGCACTCTGGCATTGACTGACTCTGTCCAGCTTGCTCGCGATAGCAGCAAATTTGTAGTGCAGGATCGATTTCGGCGAAACCCGTGTTGCCATGACACTATGATGTTGTTGCTCTCAAGATATCCGATGAGGGCCTCTGCAATTATACGTTCCATTACCTTGGGTAAAACTGGGAGTAAGTGGAAGGTCGTTCGAGGGATCCAAACGAGTACCACTTTTATAAACTGGAGTGACTAGTCCATGTTTCCACATTGTGAAAACCTGCATTTCGTCGCGACAACGTTAAAAAATCGAGCTAGTGGTTCGGCAAGATGCGTGGCCGCTGCCTTTAAGACCTTCGGTTTGACGTCGGCCACGCAAGTTGAGCTGTGCACGCGCAATGACATTAGCGTTTCCATCACATTGGCTGCCGTGAACGATATGTGGTTTAACCCTGGTGGCGATTGAAGTTGTGTCAAAAGCAGATGGAATGATGATTCACTCCAGAAAATATGGATGAATTGTTGACGAAGCACGTTGGCTGCATCTTGTGCGGTTTGCGCAAGACCATCTGTTGCACGTAAAAGTGGGACCTTGCGCTGTAATACGCTGAGCTTGTTGACGCGTGTATACAGCAACATGGGATGTGTACTGAATTTCGCCGGCAAGTTGTGTTGGTGCTTCGCGGATCAAGTTGATGCAATGGTTTCGTTGAGTTGTGTAAGCAATCTAGGTCAGGTTACTTGGACAGACTGTAAGCGCGCCAGGCTGAATCCCTTAAGGCCATGCATTTTCTGGTAGGGCTCCTCAGGAACGAATTCACTTGCTTCCGGCGAAGGACCTTGCTTTCTGACGCATTTGCCACTAGCTCAGTGAATTGGGTGACGAACAACATCCAGGCGACATTAGGCGGCTTCTTGGTCAGGAAGGACCAGTCGGTTTCGTGAACGAGGTTGGACGGGATATCGAAATGTGTAACGACATCAGTTTCCACATTGTTTGATGTACTCCGAGTATCAGAGGTAATGAAAGAGCAACATCGCGTGATCGCTACAGCCAAGTGGTGAATCGATGGTCACGGTGTCGACCATTAGTTCCTCGTTGGATAGCACAAGGTCCAAAACAAAGGGGTGTGCCACCCGTTCGGAATCGCGCGGGAGAGATGACATGGTTGTACAGAGGTGCATGGTCGATCACCTCTTGCAAATTGAATTGTTCGCTGTCCGATGCTCGAACTTCGATTGCGTGCGGGTTGAAGACCCCCACCAGAAGGAGGTGACTGTGTGGTCGTGCCAGGACTCGTTTCATCGCAGATGCTAGGCATTGATCTATTTCCGAGATGGACATTGCAGGGCGGTAAACAATTGCTAGTAACCACACATCACCACGTCTTAGGTGGATATGACACCAAAGAGAATCGACGACTTACGTTTCTAGGTCTTCAATGATATCAATATGCAAGTCAGATCGATACTACAGGAGCACTCCCCCTCCTCTGCTAGATCCATCGTTTCGTATGGAAGTCATGCCGAGTATTGCGATCTCAGCATCGGTGATCTCCGTGTTCAGCCATGTTTCGGTAACCATAACTAGGTCTCAAGACGTGGAGACCTGACAAATACGAAGTGCGGTTAGCTTGCTGAGAAGACCTTGTGCGTTGGTGTACAAGCAGGTGAGGGCATCGGTGGTCAGAAGCGTGTTTGTGAATGCTGGTTTCCGGTGAGGGTCTACGCCGACCCAACAAGGGTCGGCGTCCGGTCGTTTTGTAGGACCGATGACGCGGGCTCTAGGGCCAGTTCAGGCTGTTGTATAGAGCTCTCAGCGCCAACAAGAGGGTGACCATCCTGTCCTCCATCAGCTGCCGGTGTGTTCTGGTATTGTCTCCGCTCTGAGCTACACGGTGATAGAAATGTATTGGTAAGTTGCTTGCTCAGTGTTACATTGTCTATCTGTGGCCCGGTGCATATCGCCTTTATACGTATTTCGGATGGCAGCATTTTACGCCGTTTGTGTCACATTTTGATCACATGTTCTGCCATCAGTTCGGATTGCAATGATAGTTTCATCACTCGGGGACCACACCCTTTGTAGTTAGGTGATAGAAATAACCTTGATGTCGAATTAGCGATAACATTTTCGAGTGCGAGTACTTCACGAATAAAACGCCATTCATCCCAGTCATGCGCTTTGGCCTCTAGTCCGCTCGGGGACACCGTGAACAAGAATAGATTTTGCGTGTTGTTGTTTACGGGAGTCATCCGGATTTTGTTTGCGTTTCTGGCGTTCGCGCCAAGGATCATCTGCAGGTTACACTCAATGACAGTCAGTCAACCACAAAGAGCCCTCAGAAGTCGCATACAAATTGCAAGCCTATTAAGCAGATAACGAATGTAAACAGTAACGTTGGTAAGAC